CTCGTGGTCGATGCCTGGGTGGGTGAGAGTGAGAGGTGGGTGGAGATTTCGACCTCTGGTTTGCTATCATCAGCGTTCGTCATTATTAATGCATTAGCCACGGGTGATTCCAACCGGTGACAATTTATAATAATAATACTATTATTATTATTATTATTATAATTAATAAAAATAATAATAATAATATGGTGACGATGATGACGTCATCGTCATCATTCTCCTCCATGCAAATTTCATTCATTGCTTATTACAACCATTAATTTCATCAAAAAAAAATCACCAAACCTATCGACCCATAGGGCCCGCCAGTGGCCCTGTGCAGCTCCCTGAGGCAGCCACCATTCTCTTCCATCTCATGAACCGTTATGTCCACCGTACCACCACCGCAGTCCACAACCATGTATCTGGTGCCTGGAGACAAGAAGTTGGTGTATGCGTGTGAGCGTGTGCAACACACACACACAAACACACACACACACACACAAACGCATACACACAAACACACACGCACGCACGCACGCACGCACACGTACCATCCACATCAACTTCTTGACCGACTGTGTTGGTGGTTGAAGTTGGCGCCATTGTCAGGCATCTTGCGAACGTTGTCATTTGGCGCCTTCTCATATAGTCATCTGTGTCGAGTTTATTATAAATCATAATTATCTTTATTATATTATATTATTTTTATTATTACATTATTATTATTATTATATTATATTATTGTTATATTATTATTATTATATTATATTATTATTATATTATGTTATGTCATGTCATGTTATATTATATGATTATTATATTATATTATATTATTTTTATTATTATTTTCAGAGGTATTAACAACTCAATCGCCAAACTATGCCACCACCCATCAGTATTGTTACTGTTGTTATTTTTATAACTACCGTGTAACTGGTTCCCCTTCTCTCCACCGGAAATGGAAGAAGAAAGAGTATTGCTGTTGTTGTTGTTGTTGATGTTGTCGGTGTTGTTGGTGTTGTTGTTGTTGATGTTGTTGTTGTTGGCGAAAGTTTCTGGGATAAGTTGGTACGTTCTTAGTTTTCTGACGTAGATGGATGCGGCCTCGGGTTCGAGGGCAATGAGCAGCTGGCCCGGATAGCTGGGGCTTGCCAGACCCGCCTTTCATGTTGCAATGGATCAATTAATTGAGTAATTAATTAATTAATTAATCAGTTTATCATGTCATAAATAAACGACCCAATCAACCAATCGAGTAATTAACCAGCCAGCCAACCAACCTACCAGCCAATCAATCAACCAACCAATCAATCTACCAGCCAAGCATTTGATCAATCAATCAACCAACCATATAAGCAGCCTGTCTCATGAACTGCTTGGCAGGGGCCTTCCAAATGGCGGGTACCGTAATTACCCAACGTATGTCTTCATTCAAAATACTCGTCTCTGATTGGTCGGTTAGTTCTTGAAGGGCGTGGTCTTTAAAGTATTTCAACGAATGAACGAAGACCTTGAGGGCTGGGTAAGCCTGGCCATTGCTGGCATTTATGGTTGTATTCTTGTTCAACTCCTTGATGGTGAATGAATGAATGGATGAATGATTGATTGAATGAATGAATGGACGAGTCAATGAATCAATGAATGAATTAATGCATCAATGAATCAATGAATAGTCATGAATGAATGAAGAAGATAATAATGAATAAACTGACAAAATAAATTTTCCAAGAAAAGTTTTATAACAACTATATCACAAAATCTCTCTCTCTCTTTCTTGTTTTTTTTCTCTCTCTTCCCTCCCTCCTCTCTCTCTTTCTCATAAAGAAGTATGTAAACATGGTATGTAAAGATGTAAACAAGCGGGAAACCAAACAACAGTTGTTAATATCATCATCAACTGCAGTAAGATAACATTTTTACTATAGACTTCACGTACGTACACACGCATGTACATTTAGGTGTGTGTGTGTGTATCTGTGTGTGTGTGTATATATATATATATATATATATATATATATATATGTATATATCTGTGTGTGTGTATATATATATATATATATATGTGCTTGTGTGTGTATCTGTGTTTGGTTGTGTGTGTGTCTGTATTTGTGTGTGTCTGTTTGTGTGTGGGGCTTTGTGTGTGTGTGGCTTTCTGTGTGTATCTGTATTTGTGTGTGTGTGTCTGTGTGTGGTGTGTGTGTGTGTGTGCGCGCGCATTTCATTTTTAACAAACACAATAAATAAAACAAATCCCTTTCATCTCGATGTAAAGCTTTCATAGGAAACACTTGAAAATATCTTTCCACCACCGAACTTCCAGCTAGCTCTATTAGAGATAGCAAACCCAGACACATTTGAATGGTGGTAAAAAATAACAAATTTTCGGTAAAAACCCTTCGTAGAAATCTCATATCATAAATTATTTTCATGAACAAAAAGTTTTTTTTAATATTTGATGAATAAAAAATGAAATAAATGTATAGGATAGAGTTGTAGAAATAATCATCTGATGGTGTTGATGCTACCGTGTGGAGTAACGAAAGAAAGTGACTTGGACGAAGCAAGTTTAAAATAAGGAAAGCTTTTTTTTTTAAAAAAAACCCGTTCTTTTATGTCAAATTTTCAATTTATTTCATTCATTTTCCATTTATCAATTAATTTAATTAGTCATTAATTTATTTAATTAATTCTGTCAATTTAGAAATTAATGTATTGTCACCTGGATTGCACAAGAGTGCAGAGTTTCAGCTCAGTAAGGATTTGTCATGAATGAAAAAAAACAAACGAACGAACAGACAGACAGACATACAGAAAGACCGACTAACTGACTGACAAACATACATACAGTTAATAATTTTAGTTAGTTAATAATAAACTTAGATAAAAGAACAAAAAAGCAAATTTACTGAGTTGTGATGGAGGGCCATCTTGAATTTTTCAAAATAAAACCACTTCTTCGCCTGCGACTGATCCAGATCGTGATAGTTGTCCCGGGCTGTGAAGCCAAACGAATGAAACTCGCCTATGCATTTCCACACACAAAAAAAATGAACATTTAAAATTAAAATTCAAAAATAATTTGGCTGAGACTTATTTTAAAAAGTTCACATCAGGAAAGCATTAAGAATAACCAAACAAACAGATGAATAATTGTATGTATGGTGTTTGTGTGTGTGTGAGAAAGAGAGAGAAAGAGAGAGAGAAAGAGAGAGAGAAAGAGAGAGAGAGACATATAAAACACATAACAAAACAAACAAACCAACCATCCGGATTTAACAGAAGCGTTGTGAGAGTCTTTTGATTGACAAGTCCTGGGTCTCCACCTTCCCACTTCCTCATGATGTGCAGGGATTCCGGATCCTTTACGAAACTGAAGGCGTATCCGCTGTACGTGGTCCCAAAATCAATGGCCACTATGACAAAGAAAGGTTTCTGGAGCTGGTGGGACTCGGCGGATTCAGTGAACTCCGGAAATGAGAAGATGTTGTTTGAGGATCTGCGGTTTGGAATGAGACATGGGGGGATGTTTTTTTCTTGGAGTTTGAAATAGTCTTATTTGGTACGATCAAAACAAAATTTGCCCTTGAATATTACGCCTGCTACTTTTTGCAACTTGTTACAACCGTTCGTTTTCGCTTGTTTATTCAGTACTTCAGTAATTCATTCGTTTTTTCATTCATTCGGTCAGTCAGTCAGCCACTCAGTCATTCATTCATCCATTCATTCATTCATTCACTCTTTCACTCATCCATTCATTCATTCATTCATTCATCCATATGAGAACTGAGGTTGAATAATTCAAACTGCGAGATAGCGTTTTCAAGTAAATCAAAGTTTCAACATATTTAAGGTTGTAATTTGAAACCCAAAATGATAATAATATAATATATATAATAACAATAAAAATAATAATAATATATCATATTTATTTAGTGTCTTTTGTTTCTTAAAGTATGCCAAAATTCGATTGAAGCTATGATTTATAAATTTGGCATGTTCAGTAAATAAATAAATAAAGTTGATAAGAATCGCGTGATTCATTTTCTCTCTGTTTTGCATACACACACACACACACACACACACACACACACACACACACACACACACACACACACATGCAAAGTCTTATTATTCCATAATTAATGACGTTGTACATAGTCTCCTCAAAATTGCGAAGTATGCCATGTATAAATAAATAAACATTTCATCAAAACCAAACATGAATATATATCTACATCTTTCCAATAAGTAGTATTTAATTTCATAACCACACACACACACACATACACACACTCTCTCACTCACTCCCACACACACACACTCACACGCAAACACACACACACACAAAAGGATCTTTTCGTCTTCGAACTCAGTCACTACGGCACAAAAGACGGCCACTGTACCACTACACCATCCATCATCAACTTGGGGTAAAAATTTGAAGAAAAAAATTTTTTTTAAATTTACCAACAGCAAACATCCTTCAGAATTCTGCCTCTGATGCTTTGGCAATCTCGGAGTGGCACTCCTATCCGGAGATCCGGATCTACTGCAGTTTAGGGAGGAGGGAGTGTAGATGTAGGGTTTTACCTGCCGGATCCCGGCACTCGTTTCCATCTCTAGGGCTACAATTTCTGCGGTTTTACAATAGATGGCGTGTTTTTAAAGGGTTATTTTTTTTCTCATTTATTTGGTATATAATTCATAGTAATATTCACACATATACACACACACACACATACACATACATAGACACACACATACACAGACACGCACACATACGTGCTGGTCTTGAGTTGGAATTTTTTGAGGATGTGTTTTTCGCCGGCTGAAGAGTTGCGTTTGGCGTTGCATCGTTTGAGTCTGTCAAAAAAAACATTTGAACAGTTAAAAATGTATTAAACAAATAAATAATTTAATTTATTAATTGGTCAATTAATTACTTAATTGATCAATTAATTAATCAATGCAATCATCTAGATTATCTACACTAGTATACATACATTAATTTTACTTCAGGTTTGTGGAAATATTTTCAAAAAGTATCAACAACCACACACACACACACACACACACACACACACACACACACACACACACACACACACACACGCAAACAATGTGTGTAGATACGTAAGGTACATTAACCATCATAGAATATATTATATATTACACTAACAAATTATAATGTAAAATAGTATTATTAACATTAACTATTTAACAGTTGTTTGTAATGTTTATTTAATCTGTATTCCGAAAAAAACCTAGGCCTCATATTAAAATTTTAAATTCTCTGTCTTGTTCCATTGGAGTTAATAATTGCAATAAGTGATGAATGGTGAATGATTTATTGCTTATTCACATAAGTGTGCGTGTGTCTGTGTGTGTGTGAATGTATGCGTGTGTGGTTGTGTGTGCGTGTGAGTGTGTGTGTGTGAGTGTAAATTATTTAGATTTAAAAATAACTTGCAAATAAGTAAAAACGAAACATGTTGGCATCATATTTCTTATTACTCACCACCATAAACGGAAGGGCAAAAATAAAACAAACAAAAATGAACAAACAAAATGTATAAACAAATGAACGAACGAACATATAAACGAGTAAAGCGAACAAACTCATTGACGAACAGATAAACATACAAACACAGATACATAAGCTACATTATGTCTCTACATAATTCATTTTCATAATTTTAATAGTTTATATTCTATTTTATTATTTACCGGGCACCGTAAAAGCTCTTCTGAACTTCAGAATAAAAATAAAAAATAAGCAAACAGCTAAGATAACAAACAAACAAATGAACGTAAAAACTAAACAAACAAGTGAACAAACGAACGAACGAACAACAACTTACTTAATTCATGCTCCTCCTTATTGTTAGCTTGTTGTTGTCCAAATTCGGGTGAACTCTTATTTCTCAACTGCATTGATGACGACCTTTGTGTTGTTGCTGTTGATGTTGTTGCAGCCGTTGATGCTGCTTTTGTGGCTAATGTCGGCGCTTCACCCAACAAATCGGCCGACTTTTTCCGTGTCCGCTTTCCGCTTAAATTCAATTTCTTGTCCAAATCTAGAATTCTGTCGATGCGTGTACCAAGTGAAACTTCTTATTTACGAATTAATCAATTAATTAATCAACTAATTAATAGATAGTAATATATAATTTAAATATAATAATATAAATATTTAAAATCAAAGGGCGAAAAACCGCGAAACCTTACTTGCTAAACTTCTTAACGAAGGTCGGACTGCTCCTGACGTTAAGGAAGCTGAGAAGATGCTGGCTGCTGGAAAGTTTCTGTGGATCTGGAGTCGTTTCATCAGCCGTAAGACTGCTACTTTTGGATGATTGGTTCTTCTTTTCCTTGTTCTTTTTCAGGCTCCATGGAGATGAGAAGCCTTTGAAGAACTTCCCAGATGTTTTAATATCGGTGGTTGTAGTTGTTGTGGAAGAGATTGCAGGACATGTGGCGGAATTGGTTGTTGGAAAAGATGGATGGAAAGAGGATGTCGGGGATACGTTGGTGGCATCTGGTGTTTCCTGTTCCTCTTTGTTTTGTAGTTTTTGGACGTTACCGGCGTTATCCTTTGAGGTGTATTGTATTTTTAGCTCCGGGGTTGGAAGTCTGAATGAAGAGGAATTGTTACTTTGCTGCTTAATGGCTGATGGTCTGGTCGGTGTTGGTGGTTTTGCGTCTACGACGTGTTTCACGCTGTTGGATCGTTCCATGGTTGACCTTTCCACGTCTGATTTTTCCACGTCTGACCTTTCTATGTTTGACCTTTCCACGCTTGCCTCGTCAGTGTCGATGTTGCAGATTTCTATTTTTTTCCTTATTCGCTGGAGCTTTGGCGTGCTTCCAACGTCAAAGTTTTTAGTTTTGCTGTCCGTGCGTGTTTGTCCGTGGACCGAATTTTTATTTTCTATTTCGTTTTCATCAATTTCGCTTGGAATAGTAGCCTCCTCTGGGGCTGATTCATCGCTGTTATCATCGGCTTGGGTTTGTTTGTTTTCGAGGAGTGGTTTTTTGATTTTGGTTGGTGCTTGTTTGGAATTTTCATCAGTCAGACTCAAGGGTGTATCTGGAAACCATTTCATTCCATCGTGTGAGAGTACTTGCGGTGGCAAGTTTGAAAAAAGTTCTCGATTCTCACACGTTTGCGTTTCATTTCTTTTTCTTTCTCCGTCATTCACATCGAGAGTTTGTGGAGAATTCGAATCGAAATTTTGTTTATCTGAAAAGTTCTGTAGATTTTTGTCAGCGTCGTCGTAGCTAGTTTGGGTTGAAGTGCTCTGTTTTATTTTATCACTTGATGTCGTTTTTGTTGTTTTACACTTTTTTAGACCGCCAGCAGCCCTGTCATCTATGGATTTGATTTGATTCGAATCTGCCGAAATTGTGTTACTAACTTTCTGATCATCGTCATTATTGGAAAGATGCAATCCTCCGCTGTTAGCATCAGCATCCATCCTATCTCCATCTTCAACATCTCCATCATCTGTTTGCTGGTGAGATGTGTATGATGGTGGAGGTGGGACTGTGATGATTTCGTCATCATCTACATCACCGAAACTAACTGTAGAATCGTTTTTATCGACGATTGTCGGTAAATGATTCATCGGATCATCCGTTCGGTTAAATTTATTTAGTTTTTTGTTGAAATATTCGTGCGGATAGAAACCGGTTATTCGCTGGCCGGATCTCTTAAGCTGTTCCTCCAAATGTTCTCTGTGCTTTTTTTGTTCATTGTATTGCTCGTTCAGAAGCTTCTGCTTGCGATCTAACTCTAAGAGTTTCTGCTGGCGTTGATTGAGTTGATGTTGTTGCAGCTGATGTTGATGTAGTTGTTGATGTTGATCTTTATGTCTCAACTGCTCGATGTGTTGTTTGTTTTGTTGTAAAACTTTCTTATATTGTTGTTGCTGCTGCTGTACAAGTTCAACCTTCCTCTTGCACTGCTCTTGAAGTTGAAGCATCTGCAGCTGCTGTTGCTGCTGCTGTTGCAGCTGCATCAACTGCTCAGCCTGGTCGATGTTGTAATGTTTCGAAGTTATCGTCGTCGTCGCCAGTGGGACGAAAGTGAAGGATGTGATGTGGGATTTTGTGATCCGTGGCGAAATTTGGGATGTTAGGGATTCTCTGCTATTGGTTGTGTCTGTCCCTATCCTACTGCTGAGAGGATGGGCAGTGCTTGGTCGTGATTTGCTGTTGTTGTTGTTCATTCTTTGTGTTGCTGTGATGTGGATGTTGTTGTTGCTCATGTTATTAATGCAGTTAGTGTAACTGTTGTTGTTGTTGTTGTAGTTTGTTGTTGTTGTAATAATTTCATTGGAAGGTTTCGTCTCTATAATTGAAGTTTTTTTTCTTGAAGATATGGAATTTCTTCCTCACCTAGAAAATTATTATTTATTTATATTAAGGTTTATATTTGATTAACAACTATGGGGCATTATCCGCGGGCTGCCCCCACCCACCCTACAAAAATCTTAATTTAGTAATTTATATATTCTTATATGTAATATTTAAATATTAATGATTCAGTTTTACGTGAAACCGTATATGCCAATATGTATGCATGTATGTGTGTGTGTGTGCGTGTGTGTGTGTGTGTGTGTGTGTGTGTGTGTGTGTGTAAGTATGTATGTATGCGTGTATGTACCAGACCGTGTAAATAAGCCATCACATCCCTATTTCTCAACCAAATGACGCCCCCAATTTAAAAATTTTGTAAAAAAAAAAAACCCCCTTCAATCTCATCCTTTCTTTTTAACCGTAAAAAACTACAAACTGACAAAATAGTATAAATAATAAAAATAACAATTAATATTATAATAATAATTATTGTTAATGTTAATTATAAAAATAGTAATTAATATTATAATAACAATTATCGTTAATATTAATTCTCCATACCATACCATTAATGATAATAAATAGTAATTAATATTATAATAATAATTATCGTTAATATTAATAATAGAAATAGTAATTAATATAATAATAATAATTATTGTTAATATTAATAATAGAAATAGTAATTAATATTATAATAATAATTATCGTTAATATTAATAATAAAAATAGTAGTTAATGTTATAATAATAATTATTGTTAATATAAATAATAATTGTTATTATTTTATTACTGTTGCGAAAATTTCTTTTACAGAATTTTATCTACACAACATTTTAAAGCTCGTAGAAGATTGTAGAAAAAGAGTATGGCACTAACAGACGAATGATGATGAGGAGGAGAGAGAAAGAGAGAAAGAGAGAGAGAGAGAGAGGGAAAGAAAGAGAGATAGATAGATACTTTATACATGCTTATTTACAATACAATACATACATATATTCAATACATAATTGTATACCAAAAATTACATCACTCGTATGCAAATCTTACAATATGGTATACATAATAAAAATATACAATATGGTATGCATAATAAAAATACATACATACATACATGCATGCATACATACATACATACACATACATACATACGTACATACAAACATACACATACATACACATACATACATAAAAACATACATACAAAACAAACCATAAACAAAGCCGACAAAATACTTATCATCATCAAGAGTGTTCTGTTTATGTTAATTTTAAAATGTTTAGCCTTGTATATGTGTGCTTGTCTTTTGCTTAACAGCTTAAATATATAATGGTATATGTGTGTGTTTCTTTGTACATGCGAGTGAGTGTGTGTTGTGTGTGTAGTTTAATTTCTCCTTATGCTATAATATGTGTGCAAATACACACTTGAAGAGCACACAAACTTATATGTGTGTATATATATATAAATATATATATATATACATGGATGGTGGTGGAATGTAAAATTTGAAAAGTTAAGATGGTGTCGATACTTAAGTTGTTGCATAAACGTGTGCTGAAGAGTTATAAATATGAAGATGTGAGAATTTTGTATGAGTATGTTTATAACCTCTAATCTATAGAAAGTTGATTGTGTATCTCTACCGTGTTTTATTTATGATCTATTTCATTGTGTAAGTGACTATAAAGGCCCTTAAATCCATTTTTATGTTAAGGAACATTGTATAATCATAACTAGCTTGTATACTATATTATGAAAAACTTGAAGATATACAACCACACACATACAAAGACACATACAAAGACTCATACAAAGACATACTAACTCACACACAAACATAGATACATATACACGCGTACATGAATAGACAACAATTTTTTCTCAAACTCAAGATTGAAATAAACATAGGCTAACTATTTAAAAGCCCATTGAAATGATACGACTAATAGAAAATATTTACTTGACTAAATATTTTTAAATCAATCTAATTAAATCGAATTATATAATTTAAAATTTTCGTCGTCAATTTAAATAAAAATATTGCTTTTTGTTTAGAAAACAGAGTGGCTTACTGAGTTCGTGGTTGGGCTTACTTAAGAAATTGCATGAATTTCAAACACAACTAATAATAAATTTGACTCAATATGTTCAAAACATTGTACTTAAATAGGATTATATGTAATTTGAAATTATTTTCGTCAATTTAAATGAAAATGACGTCATGTTAACAGTAGTTATTTAACTGCCTGTTAGTGAATTAGCCGGTACAAAGGTTATATTCAATTCCTATCAAATAAGTTTGATCAAATATCAAACGCAGGCAAAACTAAATAAAGAAATAGATAGTATATGTAATTATAATACATTTATCATGTTAGATTTACACATTAAAATTGTACAATTGTGTTATGGTGTAGTCTCAAATTATTTTTAATTCTTTCAGAAAAATTTAAACTTTTTCCTATATACCAGTTACTTTTATCAACAATTTAAAAAAAAATTCAATTTGATTTCATCGCGACATCGATGATGATGATTGTGACCTGACTGATTAAAA